CTTTTTGGATTTTCACTGCATTTTTTTAAAAAAAGAAAAGACTGATCATTAGAAATGGCAACATAAAATAATCAATGAACAAACAGCCATCTATATTTGCTTAATGCTGTAAGGAACAGCATTCAGACTTAGTATGTCTCCGGGATTAAAATGTCCGATGTTGGAATTCTACTCTAAAGCTGCACTGTTGTATCTATAGGCTATATAATAGGCTGGTTATTAATTGTACTATTCCATTTATTCCTAAAATGATGTTTAAGATAGTTATAAATTGTTTGAGCCCAATTCTGATGTCATATTGCTAAAGTGAGTCATGGGCAGATGATATGGGAAATATGTATGATGTTATGAACAGAGTTAGAAATAAGAAAAGATGGAGAATTGGAGGTGAAAGTTGAAAATACATAAGTTAAGGGCTTTTGCAGACAACTTTGTTTTCATTTTGGAAAATTCTATGGATGGAATAGATAAGTCATTAGCAAAATTAAGAATTTGGCGTGCCAGTTGATTTTAAGATTAATAATGAGAAAACAAAGATGGTAACCAAAAATGTAAGTAAAAGAATTGATTGCAAAAACAATGTTTGAGACTGGAAAAAATAATCAATTAAAAAAGAATCATGGAACATTGGTTTTGTGTATGGTAGCTACTGCAATACTATTATATGTTGGAGAAATTCCTACATCTGAGGAATGAATTGTAAAAATGGCAAAATTTGCAGAAATGGAAAACTGATCTGTTTGATTAGGGATAAAATAACAAATTCTTTTTTATATAAAAAACTGGAAACCTGTTATGGACTTTTTGTTGAAAATGAAAAAAAATAGAAATTGTGATTTCTGGATGTGCTGATTAAATGGGTTGAAAAAGGGATAGAAAGTAACTATGTGATCTAATCTTAGGGAGGGATTGGTTTGTAACTGCTGTAAAGAAGATTGGAAGTTGAGTATTAGATTTAAGACTGTTTGAAAATCAATATCCCAGATCTGTTGCTTTAAGATGACACCTGCTTGAGCAGTGGTTGGCCTAAAAGACCTCCAAAGTTCCTTCCAACCTGATTATTCTATTCAAAACCTAATTGACGGAGGCTTTCCAAAGAGACACCTAAGAATTGGAGTTTGCTAGAAGCTTTTGTTAGCCAGCTTAATTTAAAACAGTATCTAAGAACAGGGAAAACAAACAATTTTAACCAAAAGTTAAGAACATAGAAGATAGAACCAGGGTCCGGCACTCACAGAAACTTATAGTCTCTATCTACAGAGCAGCATTTTGATGCCTTTTAAAATTGCAAATACAGTGCTTATAAATTTGAACTGCACACCTTTGTAACTTCTTAAAAATGCTTATGTGAACACCATAAAGCTGAAAAAATATTTAGCAAGAAAAACCTTGCAATTTGCCTGAATAAAAAGTGCCCCTTTGAATGGAAGACTCTTAAGACAATTGTGGAGAGTACATTGGACAACACTTGCCCATGTGTGTTCCATGTTAGGAAGCCTGAAACTTCATTCCACGATATTTATAAATATGCACCTGCTCCACTGGGGTTCCAGCATTTTGCTATTCATGTAACCTACTGATATGTCATGCAAAGACTTAACTGTAGTTTTTTGATACTACAAATTATTCTTTTAAGCCAAAAAAAAAAAAAAAAAGCCTGTACCATAAATAAATACCTTTCTCCTTTCCACCTAGGAGACTGAAAAACTTAACAAATCATCTGCATATAGCAAGAACATTTCCCCTAAGGCATCCCTATAGAAGATGCAGAAAGACAATGGAAAGACCTGGATTCTAGTTCATCCTTAGCCACAGCATTGGACCTGTCACTTCTTTTTAGCCCAAACTAACTCATAGGTTGCTGCGGTAAAACAGCAAGAGACTACTGAACAGAAAGAAGGGATATAAATCTAATAAATAAATAAATAGACAGATGCCATGGTTTGATCTTTGTAGCCACATAAGGATAAATACACACATGGTACTTTGTTGTACATAAGAAATACAGATACCTCCTAGGGCCATGTTGAAAAAAGGGATTGAAAAAATATATCCACAAACCATGCTCTGTATGGTTTCCTTATCTAGTTTGCTATATTCTTTCTCATATATACAAATCTATTCTAAGAACACAATATAAATGGAAACAAGCAAAACAAGACTTCAAAGAGTAGCCAAATTCAAACTTGTAGTATTTCTAAGTAGTAAAAAAAAATCAGATTTCACTGAACTAATCTTGAGTCCTGATTACCAATCACAGCAGTTTTCTTTGTTCTGGGATATGTCCAATATCTAAAAAGCACAGAACTGCAACCACTCACTATCATTGTTATTTTAATTTTAAAAATAAAAAAGCCAACAAAGAGCTTGCATATGAAGATGATCCTAGGGTTGTTTTGTTGTGGGTAAAAATGGGTGTTGGGTTTGAGTTCCTCAATGAAAGTTAGAAGTAAAGTCAAAGTATGCTTGCCAATTGTTTCTCAATATCACACATTTCAGTGTATTATTATTTAAAAAATGAGATTAAAAACAATCAATCAAATGAAAGTCAGTTTAGTATAGCAGTTAGGGTTGACCTAGAAATCAGGAGACTGAGTTCTAAACCTACCTTAGGCACACAAAACTGATTTTGGACCAGTCACTCTGTCTCAGCCCAACCCACCACATGAGATTGTTGTTTTGGAAAAAATAGAAGGAGGAAGGAGTATTGATATGTTCATTGCCTTGAGTTTTTATATGAAAAAGGCAGATTTAAAAAAAAAGATAAAAAAATGATATTTAATAAATATGTTAAACCAGGAGCAGAGATCCTTGGAAATCTCAGAAGAGACATTTGTGGGTAAATGTAGGTTCACAGACACTATTTTGTCTAACACCACCATAATTTATTCATTGATATAATCTATAACTTATCCTAGACTTGTTAGATTCCAATAATAATTCTAGGCATAGTAGATAAACTTACACATAATGTCAACAAAAAGCATATTCAATTTTTTTAAAAATACTACTTTCAAGTACATTTATAAAAAGACAAACCTTATACTATTTCAATCAACCACCCAATTTCTAAATGCTTTTAGCACAATAAGACAATGCAATATAGTTTGGTTTCCTCTTGTTTTTCTTGCTTTATTGTACAGTAGATGACCAAATATAATGCATAATGACAAATATAGTACAATAACATCTAGTACAGTAACAGTTGATACTTACAGATTACTGTCCAAGAGAATGTTCCCAAATCTGTTTATTTGCAAATCCAAACTAGTATAAAAAACATGCACTATAACAATCCTTACCTTCCATAAGTGGCAGCATTGCAGTAAAACCTGATGTTAATTGACTCGTATTGGCTCGTCCTCAGGAGTTGATATGTTATGTTTCTCCATCTTCCCAAAGAAGTGGTCCAGTGAGCTCTGGGTGCCGGCCTTCCTCTTTTTCTCATAGATGATACTGTGGATTGCATGAGGGACAACTGCAGACACCTTAGTGAAGCGTTGATGTTAAGGTCATCTTGAAAAATGGCAGTGTTTTCTCAATCAAGCAGAAAACTTCTGCCATCAGCTTAGTCTATAACTACTTCAGCGCTTCAATCTCTTCCTCTTGTTTTTGCTGGCTTTTCAATTCCATGAGGTCTTTCTTGGAGAAGTCCTCTGTGTGTATCTAATAGTTCATCAAAATCCTTCTGCTCAAGGTCATGCTGAAGCTCTTTGCTCAGAGCAATCAACCACACTGCAATTCCCTTTCTGCCTTTGAAAATCATGAACAAGCTAATGGCAAAGGCGTTTCCACCCTATTCAAGTTTGTAGAGGTAATCTTGCTCCAGGCTGCATTGATATTCTTGATAGCCTTGTAGATATTGTGGAATTTTCAAAACTAGTACAAGGTGATCTGACACTCCACTTCTCTAAACTGCCTACCTAAATGTGCAATGAAGAATATTTTTTGAAGGTTGCTATCACCTCCTGGGCCATAGGCTGGAGGAATATGGCATTTGGAGGCAGATCCACAAACTTCGCATTTGGGTGGAAATTATCCAGGGAAACTGTTAGATTTTAAATACCCTGAGGGTACTTTGTGAAATAAGCAGAATCTTGAATTCAATGTTTTTCTCATGGAAATAGTTCTCCAATTCTGGGATGAAAGAGTGGAAGAACCAGTCTTCAAAGATGAGAAGGGTGAACCAAAGTTTTTTGTTAGCTTTCCACAGTACAGGAAGGGAACTCTTTGAAATGTTCTTAAAGAGATTGCAAATTCATGGAATGGTAGACTAGCAGTGGTTTTAGGCTCAGATCACCAGAAGCACTGTCATCTAGCACCACAGTTAGCCTATTTGCAGCTTTGTAGGCTGGCATCATCATCATCTCCTTCCAAATGTAGATTTGTCTGCTATTTTCTTACAGCAAAGCTCCATTTCATCTAAACTGAATATCAACTGAGTCAAATAACCACCTTTCTAGGAGAAAGTCAGAAAAGATGATAGAATATGTGGCATGCACTAGAAACTTTCCTGCCTTCTCCTACTTCCAAGAGTCTTCTAGGATAGACTTATGGACAGGTTTCTTCATATAGGCAAAAGTTTGCAATTTGAAAATTCTTAAATAGAGTAATATCTGTATAATCTGTAATTTGTCTAACTATACTGTCAATTGTTTCTTAGGCTCAGTAATATAGATCCTTCATAGCTTTTAACCACATTTATGAATGAAGTGTACTCAGTCCTTTCCAAATGCCAACTAAAAAAACAAAGAAGCTACACAGAAGGACACAATCATATCAAGTCAAACATTTGTATCTAATATGTCAGTTTCTCTCTTTTCTGGGGTCAGCCATGAATGTTGACTATGTGGACAGGTCTACCCTGCTTCCCTGAAAATAAGACCTCCCCGGATAATAAGCCCAATCAGGCTTTTGAGTGCATGTGCTAAAATAAGCCCTCCCCTGAAAATAAGGCCTCACTGAAAAAATTGCAACACAGCAGCATACATGAGATGACCACGCTCACCACCTCCTGCACCTGAAAAATAATAAGATCTCCACGAAAATAGGGCCAAGCACTTATTTCGGGAAACATAGTACTAAATGCAACATGCAATCTGAGTACAATGTAATGAAATTTGATTAGGTGTTTGATATGGTATATGATATATGAAAATTTATTTTCTAGCACAATATTTTTTCACAAACTTCATAATATTGTGTCTTACTTTAAAACCCATTTTTAACCTCTTGATATTTCCAAAATCATCTATGCCTACCTGATCTGCCATTATTTTTCCTAACTCATTTCTCTAGAATATGGCATGATTAAATTTGCAAACCAGTGTTATCACATACCACTTTACTTGGAAATAAATTTCACCATATTGTTTACAGTTTTTAACAAAGTTCTCTAAATGATAACATTTATGGAATTTTAATTTTTAGTGATGAGAATATATTTTCTAGAATGTTATTTTGATTTCAGATAATACGATTTTGGACATATGTTTCAGTTAAACAATGGCAGAAAGATAAGTAAATTTGAGTGAAAAGAATACAAGTCAAATATAAAATGTTACAAGATGCAAAAGAAAGGAGAGAATAGAATTTAGGTGATTTGAAATTATTTTTTGCAGTTTGCTGCTTAGTTTGGATAAAATAGTGGATACTGCTGAGAAACAAGGCTTTTAAAATTAGAAGAACATGACTTAAGATTTTGGTGGAATGGATATCTATGGCATGATAAAGCTAGTGTAGATTTTAAAAATCATATTGTTAGACATGTTATATTGATAATATGGAACAGATATACACCTAGTTTGTGGTGCTTAGCATAAAAAACATTTTATAGAAAAGAAATGATGCCTCATAAATGCTTAACTTACTCCGATATATTAGCATTTGGTCAAGGAGAATGTAAAATAAAATGAAGACGAGTTGATAATAGAAAGATATTCAGGTCAATGGTTTTCTTATGTAGAACTATCAGAAATATATAAACCAGACAAAATAATTTGTAGTTAAACATTTTAAGACTGAAATTGAAATAGAATTGTGTAAAAATGATGAACATATCACTGCTATAATGTATAACCTTTTGTTAAAATAATTATGATGAAATGGGCTAAAATCTTTGGTTACAATATACAAATGGATTAAGGGAAAATATGTTGTTCAAATGATTTAAATTTACCTTATGTTATAGTCTTAAAGATAATTTTGATAAAAGTTATCATTGATGCATGACATCAGCAATGACACCATTGCTTAGAATGTATAAAGGTTCTTCAACTTTATGCTAGAAATTTAATAAAAAAGGGAGGTATTTTTATCAAGCTTGATGGACAGAATAAAAAGGTGGAAAATTCTAAACGGAATTATATATAATATTTAAAGATTAATATACAATTAAAACTAGAAGCTTTTATTTTGGAACCGAAGGATAAGCAATTAGAAAAATCCATAAAACTTTCCTTTTGTAACTGCAGTGAGACTATTATTATGTCCAGAGGTAGAAAGATTTGGTTTTACCCACAAGAGAGCAATGAATAGTGAAGTTGCTAAGATGGCCAGCTTTAAGTAGAGAAAGGACGCTCTTTAAGTTTAATGTTGATTAGAAACTCTTTACTGACTTTTTGCAGAAAACAAAATGATGGTAGATGGTTCTAATTTTTTTTAAAAAAATGATAATAGAAAATATGTAAATGATATAACCATAGCTCAATTTACTGAGCCAAGGTGGCGCAGTGGTTAAAAGCAGCACTGCAGGCTACTGCTAGATCAGCAGGTCAGCGGTTCAAATCTCACCGGCTCAGGGTTGACTCAGCCTTCCATCCTTCCGAGGTGGGTAAAATGAGGACCCAGATTGTTGGGGGCAATATGCTGACTCTCTGTAAACCGCTTAGAGAGGCCTGAAAGGCCTATGAAGCGGTATATAAGTCTACTGCTATTGCTATTGTACTTTTCGGACTATAAGGTGCATCTAAATTTGTAGGAGGAAAAGAAGAAAAAACGTTTTGGCCTCTGCACATCGCGTTTTCGACCTCTCCGGCCCCCAGAAGCACTCTGCAGTGCTCCGCATGTCCTATTTTCACCAAAACCAGGCCTGTTTTGGGCTCCCAGGTCCTCTGCACAATGCTTATTTGCCCTCCTTGGCCCCTAAAAGCATTCTGAAGGTCAAAAATGGATGTATTTTTGCCCGAAAATGGGGCCATTTTTGGAAAACAGGATGTGCAGAGCACTGCAGAGTGCTTCTGATGGCCAGGGAGAGGGAAAACATAACACACAGAGGGTTCAGGAGGCCCAAAACGCCCATATTTGGTCTATAAGACGCACCTAAATTTTCACCCACTTTTAGTGTGGGAAAAGGTGCATCTTAAACTCTGAAAAATCTATAGTTATGTGAAAGAAAATTGGAAGTAACTTCTTTATAATCTTTTTTCCTTGTCTTTCAGTTCTGACTTTTTATCTTTGTTCTGTTCTCCTTTCTAAATATTAGTTCTTGTTAGTTTTTAATCTTTTGTTTTAAAATTTTAGTAAAGTTACATAAAAGGAAATTTTACTTTTTAATTCTGCCATTAGAATTTGGATGGATAATCGGTGATCCTTGGATGGATTTCAAAATCTCTTTATTTCAGGAAGAATAATCTGTTAATTTATTTGCAATTTTCTGGAAAAATATCGGGGAAGGAAATGGTTGAAGGAAGAAAATATGTCAAAAAGAGAGGGAAGATTCTTGTTTCACCTTTTCTGGGCCAAAAGCTTTTTTTCTTCTCCCTAGCAAATAGTGCCCCTGACAAAAATACAGTAATCCAAAGGGGGGAAAAAATCCACCTTTGTTACATACAGTATTCTGAAAATGCATCCAAATGCTATTTGCAAAATGTATACATTACACTAACATCATCAACCATTTTAAAGTATGTGATACACATACATTGTGTACAGAAATCTGAACCTAAATTTTATTTATTTATTTTAATAGAATATTCTTTCTCAATAAACTTTCTCAGTAATTTCTGAAAAAGCTAGTAGTGAGAGTTATTAATTCATTGCAGATAATAATAAGAGGTATTATGCAAAGGAATCTGCTTCAACAGGAATCTATTTCGTTTCCTGCTGCACAGCCTGCCAAACTCTGTTCTGCCAGGGACAGAAAGAGACGTTTCATTGTTTTGGTTGTCTGTGGCTCTCAAACTTAACAAGTTTTATTCAACATGAAAATAATCATATCAGACAAATGCTTATTCTCAACAAATCAAATGGTATCCTGAGTGTCTGTGGTTTACAATAAGAATCTACGTTCATGACTGGATTAGACTAAAATGGATTTGTCATATGGAATGATATGTAATACATAATGAATTCATTAATATCAATTATTTTCAAAATAAAATATATACTCCTACCAATGTCCTAAGATAGCCATTTAAGATTCTGCTCTGGATACTCTCAGATATTATGACGAAGGTAGCATTAATCCATGAGTTATCTTTCTCAATGACAGCCACCACACATTATAGTTCCAAAGATATCAGTCTTTTATATCTTTTTTTTGGCAACAGATTTTAGTAACTCTTCTAGTAGGCCATTAAAACAGTTATGTTTTAATGTTCAGTCCATGTTTTGAATTTCTTTCAGAAAGGTATTTGTAGATTTAATTATCAGTGCTGCATAATGTTTTAGTCTCTTTCAATCTAAATGTTTTTTTTTCTGTTTTTAAAGTTTACATATATTTGAAGTTCACTTAATTTTATTCTTGTTTTATGTGGGTTATATACAGTAAATCACTCAAGATCATTCTGTTATACAATGGCTAACATACTGAATGAATAAAGAACTACATTAAGATGATATTGCTAGCTTTCCACTTTCCCCATCATAACAAGTATCGTGGCAAGGTCATATGAGTGGAAAATCAAGTTGTTATCATCCTATATGATTAAAAAAACAAATGTATGCTACATGCAACTTTTCAATCTGTTTCTTGCCTTTACAATCCTAAAATGAAATTAAGTTTAAAAGAACACAATGCAAAATCTCAATATCTGTCTCTTCTCACAATGGAGATTGTACCCAAGACATCAGAGTAAATACTGTTCTTCTAAATGTCTATGGAGATTCTCAGTCATCCAGGTCATGGTTGTCCCAAAGGTGCTTTTTCAAGAGGCAACTGGACTTTCAAGTTTTTCTTTGAAGAAGTTTTACTCCTCATCCAAGAAGCTTCTGAAGAGCTGAAGAAGCTTCTTGGATGAGAAGTGAAACATCTTCAAAGAAAAATAAAGTCAGGTTGCCTCTTGAAAAAGCCCCTATGGAACTATTTATTTTCTATTTTCTGAAAAATCAAAACACTGGCCTTATAGCACTTTAGACCTTTCTGACATATCTGCCATTGTATATGCCTGTACAATTAGAATATATCACAGAATTATAAATATATATTATTTCCTGAATAATTATACCCTCTGGATAATGATTTACATACATTCATATGTGTAAGACAGTACTAAATTTTTGTCACCTGAGAAGCAAAATGCCTCATTTGAAAAAAATATGGATCTATTACAGCCTATATCCATTGAGTAGTGACTACTGGCATTTCCCCAAATAATATAAAAATATGAAAACTGTACAGGCTGGCAGATTTTTCTTAGTAAAAAAAGAGGAAGAGAAAATTTTTTCTGTTGATAATAACACACTCTTCATCTCAGGTCACATATAGATAACCATTGACTTAGAGTCTGCCCATTAGTCACAAGTTGTGATGGCTATAAATCAGGTCACTAATGTTACCAACTCAATTTTATGATTTTTTGGTTGTTGAGCAAAGCAATGGCTTGCTATAGGCTGATTTTGCCAAAAAATGGAAGTAAAAGCTGGTTTTGTGCAAAACATGGTCATGGAAACATGGGACGTTGAAAATGTCTGCAAATGTAGGCCAGCTACTCAGCACCTGAAATGTGGTCACATAATGGAAGGGCCCTGGAACTTCAAAACTGGTTGTAAGTACCCACAGTGTAGTCTGTCATAACTTCAAGTGGTTGGTGAGAGAGCAGTTGTAAGTCGAGGACTACCTGTAGTAGAAAGCCATTGTAGTCCCTGGCTCCAATTAGAAGAGAATACATTCAGATGCATGTTCTTCTCCTGGCAAGTTCAAGTATGAGGATGCAGACCATAGTAATAGAAAAGATGGAGCTCTAGATTGTGATAGCCATCTCTGTAAAAGAATTAATCTAAATTAGATTAATAAGAAATGTGTTAGAAGAATTAGTATACCTAGAGAAACAGAAAAACATTATAATAAATAACTTAGTGGGAAAGCCCCATTCTAAAATATAACCCTGAAGAAAGGGTTAGCATGCACTAAAATTTTGACAGTGACTACAGATAGATTAGAGAAGAAAGCAGAAAAGGATGCAGGTGTGGAATGATATAACTGAATTTATTATATTGTAGAATATCTTTGAAGTAAGCAAGCTGGGTTGGAAAAAAATATGCTAAAAACTCAAAAGATTTTGTTTTCCATGTTTTCAACTTTACAAACTAAAATACATTTCATTCCTACAAAACCTTCTATTAGTGTAGAACAGTGTTTCTCAACCTTGGCAACTTGAAGATGTCCGGACTTCAACTCCCAGAATTCCCCAGCCAGCGAATGCTGGCTGGGGAATTCTGGGAGTTGAATTCCAGACATCTTCAAGTTACTAAGGTTGAGAAACACTGTTCTACACTAATAGAAGGTTTTGTAGGAATGAAATGTATTTTAGTTTGTAAAGTTGAAAACATGGAAAACAAAATCTTTTGAGTTTTTAGCATATTTTTTTC